AAGAGAGATTCTAGATCTTGACAATACATCTCATAAATTTGATAAACTCTTACTTTAAATTCTTGTACGTGATAAATTGACATAGATTTATTATAAATTGTTATTGCTATTCGATTAAGGATATTATTAACTTTAACTTGATCAAACACGTAGTCCTCGTGGGTTCGACTCTTTACACACTATTATATTACTTGATCACGATCTCGTTCACTTGTGGGTTTTCAAACGGTCGATTAAAATCAGATTTTTTGTGAATTTTGATAAAAGTTGGGGAGACGTGTGGTTGAAAAGTTGTGAGTTCTATGAAATATGTGGCTAAAATTAATTGCTAACTTTGAGATTTTAATTTCTACCAAACAGGGGACTAGTATTTTTTGAACAAGTATGAAGTTATTTTCTTCAAGTTTTGTAATTTTCTCAACTTTTGCATGAACAATCTTTTAAATTTGACTGCTTAGCCCGTTATTTTCAGGTGGAAAAATATATTATTGATTTCTAATAGTCATAATAAAATTTGCTAGTCTTAGCTCTGAAGGTTTCTATTTTTTATTAGCTGATTTAATTTGAGATAACTCGCGGTGGTTATAAGTCAAACCGGATTCGAATGGAAATGTTTTCCTTTTCAGATTTAGCCCATGTTGGTCACATTTTAAAATAAAATTCTTTAATTTTTATATTCATTTTTAGTCACACATTTGCACAATAAATTATTTTACCATAAATCCAAAATATTTTCCTACTTTTTAACTAAACATCCTTCAAAAACTCACTATTCAAAACTCTAATTTTTCTAAATACTGACTATCAAATATGGGCTTAGTTTATCTATAAATTAAAATCTCTTAGTAGGTTTGATATTATTTCTATCCTTCTTGGTGTCGAATTGAAAATCCATTTCGAATCACTTGGGTGTCACCTTGACTTGATCAAATGAGCCATTTTCGTCGAAGAAGCCAACCAAGTCAACACGGAAGGTCGATCCAAGGCCTACCCATGTAGGTAGGCTCGTGGAGACGTCATATAAAACATGTGACTAAAAATGTGTTCCTTTGGGAGATAGCGTCGTCCCTATTCACCAATCAACGGAAAGTAATGATTGCATAAGGTACATGTCTACGATCCAGATATAATCATGACCCATCGCAACCGTTCTCCAACCAATTAAATCTTTTCAAAATGGACGGTGGGCACATGGACCTAGATCGAACCCTATATAAAGAGGTAAAGATCCAGCAAGAAATGTCAAACTTAATATTCTTTTAGTAACATTCATATACCAAAGCAACAGAGGAGACATCCCCAGAACGTCTACTTAAATAAATTAAAAAAGTGTTGTTAAAATTTTCAATGCATGAATCAAAACATGTCTATTTTCCATTAGTCAGTCATTTTAAATTGACTAAGGAACATTATCCAATAGTTGAATATGATATTATATATATGGAAAAGAGTATCCTATGCTAATGCAGTTGGTTCTATCATGTACGCCATGGTGTGTACCGGACTAGATATGACCTATGCAATAAACAATCTAAGTAGATTTAGGGCTAAGTGAGGGAGTATTACTAAAAGGTTTGTAGATGCTGATTTATCAGTGATAGTGATAATAGAAAGTCTTCTATTGTTTACATGTTTACTTATTGTGATACTTGTATTAGTTGAAATCACAATTACATCCAATAATTGTTTTATTTTTTGCTGAAGTTGAATATGTTGCAGCCACAAAAGCAGTGAAATAAGTATTGTGGTTAACATGATTGTTATCTGAAATAAATATTATTTCTGTACAAGTAGTTTTTTATTGTGATAGGCAAAGTGCAATTCACTTGTGTAAGAATCCTATTTTTCAAGAAAAAACAAAACATATGTAGATGAAGTCAATAACAGATATTTTCCAAATTCTGCTATGTTTGATCATCTTTGTTCTGGTGGACGTGTTTGTGTGCGTATATCTGTATACATTTCCTAAAAACAATGGTTGTATGTTTGTGAAGTCAAAGGTCTATGCGTTTGCTTCTTAAGTTCAAAATTTTTCATTGATTACAAAAGAACAAGGAGATGGATTTACAAGTTATTGTATTATTATCTGTTTTCGGACAATTCTTGAATGGTTAATTGTAATTATAATTTTGTACTTGTCACCCTTCGTGTCTGGCATTAAATTTACCCCCATCAACTTAACTTGGCATAGTAAATTTCTTCTAACGAATATATGCACTTTCTATTTTACAGTACATCAAAGAATGAAGTTACACCAAGAAGATTGTTGAGGAAGACACGAAGGCAGTAATAAAAACAGTTGATGCGGGGTTAAAAGGCACATGATGTTCTATTGCAGTCTCGGATTTTAATATGTAACATATTTGCATGCACGGATCAAGTTTAGTCGTCCTATGCTCAAATAATAGATGAAATGTGAAGTATAAAAAGTTATTTGCATTATCATTGTGAAGTAATGATGTGCATTCAATGTTTAACCACAAATGATTAATTGAATTGTGAAAACAAATGTTCTCTTATTTTGCTCATTTGGAGAGTATTGTAAGTAAAGTTCTCTAACCACATTAGTAAGTGTGCAGTCTTATCTTACCCACTTGAGTACAGTCTTATCACACAATTTCGATATACATACATACATACATAGTCTCCTCAGAGCATCTATTTTAACAGGTGTTTAACATCTCAAGACATTTATTCATAATACTACGATTTCAAACAAAGCACAAAATTTGAATACAAACTAACCACAAATTAAACTAAACTAAATATACCCAATTTTTTCCAAAAAATTATCAAACTAATAAAATGATGTAAAATCACAAGTTTGTTCACCGTTATATCAAAAAGTAAACAAGACATTACAAAAACACTCTTTCAAAATCTTGAAGAAAACTTGTTCACATCTTTGCCGAATACATTATTGGATTTGCTGAACAAGTTTCTTTTAATCAGCACATCCCCATATTATATTTGTTTGTTCTCCATCGCATTTCAGATAAAAAACAAGGAAAAGTTCCTTAATCGACAGCTTCATAAATCTGTCGAAAATGTTGAACTACATATGCAGAACCCTTGGTTGTCGCATTAGTTCATATCTTTGTCGTTTCTTGCTGTACTTCCAGAATTCTCATCTCATTCATCTTGTTCGATGCCTCTGATTGAAAGTTTGTTCTTTCTCCTGCTCTTTGTGAAATTTTATACTTTATGTAAGTGGTAGACAAATAGTAAACGAATACCAGCGATATCCTTTAAT